AACGCACACAGATTGTCAAAATAAGACTAGGCCTTGCAAAAGCAAAGCTACAGAGTATCAGCAGCAGGGCACACACTGTCGAGACCCAATTCGCTCTGTCCTGTCGAACTAGCCTCTTTCCGATGTCACTATGTATACACGAATTGCGGTGCCCTTTTTATTTGTGGCCTAGTGCTTGTGATAATCTCCGGAAGGCTCGCCCAACGGGGTGTCAGAGCTAATTGGGTTAACGACTTTGGGCGCACCGCTGCCTACAGAAATTCGATCATCACAGTTCGTGTAGGTGGAGGGTTGTCATAAATTGGTTTTAAGGGCATGTTGGAACATAAGGTTAATGAACACATGGGTTTTAAACGAATAATGGTGAACACTGGAATTTCGACGCATAAATGACCACGTGTTACGTTTATCTTTGTGTCCGTGACTGCGTCGGGGATCACGTCGTGCCCTGTTGTGTTCCAAATTCTGTAGGGAGATGAGCGTACAAACGAATTAAGCAGTAAATTTATTAGAAACACAAATTGTTGTAGGCCACAACATCCCCTTATATAAGGACCAGTTTGCAGCTCACCCAGTGGCTGATGCACTCAAATATGTGCCAGATACCTTCCTTCAACCACCACTTTTTTCCAACAGGTCACCAAAACTGTAAGTGTGGAAATACTTTGCTGGATTCCACTAGGATAGTCCGCTGTATACAGGAACACCCAGGTGATCAACGAGATCGGAACCCCGCTGCGAAGTGGAAAATTTCCTAAACACTTTGTATGACTGAACGCGTCAGATCTGACTGAGGTTTTGGGAAAAATGCAAAGAATTTGAGTTTCTCAATCCGGTAAAAGGTGAAAACCGGATCGGTTCAGAGTAGAGTAAATGGGTTCCGGAAAAAGCTACTGACGATAGAGGGAATCAGGTGAATGAGCTCGGGGGTTGGGGCCATTTCTTGACATTTGACACAGCCTCACCGGTCAGAAGTACAAATGAACTACTGACGTGTTTCCGATCTGATGAATGCCCCAGTATGTTTGCCTCCTTGCAATTAGGTTTCTCTCCACCAGACAGTGTTATGTGCCGGGTCTACAAACGATCAGCTGATCATCGAACGTCCTTGATCATGGCAATTTAGTGGATTGACGAGAATACATTGCAGTAAAATCATAACCAAGCCTGCTCGCACGAATTGATGCAGTCAAGAGCTGATTCCAGTCGTGATTCACTTGATTTTTTCACACCGGTGTGTGCACGTGAATCATCGGCTTCTTTAGTTGTGGTTTTCACTGCATCACTGTGATCATCGCAACCAAATTTGAGGAACGGTAAGCAGACAAAACATCAGATTACTGCAGTGGCTATGTGGTGTTGTATTTTGATTTTGGACTTAGTTCCTCTACACGGGTTTGGGGGGTGGGGGTGGATACAGATGCATTAGTAGCCAATTATTTAATGCACAGGNACATATGATTCATGTTTATTGTCACTGTTCTCTCTATGAAAGTGGACGCATCCACTTATCAATTGGAAGGGAACGAGGCTGTTTCACGTGGGCATTATCTTGAGACAAATAAAAGTTACGTCACTCAATAGGCTGAGTTTGCATAATGTGTCGTTAACCAAGATTGTATGAGTCGTCCAAAGGGGAACCGTATCTACCATTCAGGATCTCTAGGGTTCTTCATTTTAACATGATTTATGGATCATATCAAAATTATCAAAATGCCTCGAATCGGTTTGTACAAGGAAAACACTTCATTTGTCATTATTCATATAGTGCATACTGGTTGACCAGTGCGTCAATAACTGAACTGTTTTCGTGGAAGATCTNAAATACTCTCCGGGCTACTACCCTCCATAGGTTCGTAAGTAGCTTCAGATCATGACTATACAAATGAACCATTCCAGGTAACAGACACTCGTTCTTCTGCGAGGTATGACGTGTGCATTGGGATTTTGTCTTGCTGAAACAATGATAATCTACCCGGGTTCATTGTGATTATCAGCAAATTGAAAAGCTAAACTGCACTGGTATAGGACGTTGCGTTTAGGGTACCCTCCCGGACTACCAACTGACTCATACCAGCCGCAAAATGCACTCAAGGCTACTTGTCCGGTTTTGTGTTCCCAGTATACCAATCATTTTTTCCTTCTCGGTACCATACGATGTAAATTGTTCTACCCGTCCAGATTCTTCGTCGTCTCGCATTGGCTCCCCACGAAACTCGGCTTTGGGGCCACTTTATTTTATCATACATATCCTTGTGTGATGGACAACAGACGGGCTGAACTCCATAGTCACAAAGACCTGTTGTTCACTCAACCTAAGTACGGGGACTTTGAGTGGCGCGAACAACATGGGGCCCTACCTTTTTAGACGTGGTGTTGAGACGAACGATACCGGAGCTGTCTACCACAAAAGTAAGGTCGCGGTGGCGGGATTCCATCCTCTAACCTCAGGGCCCAATACACTCTGGGGTGAGCAACTTAGACCGTTTGACAGCCATCATCTACTGCAATCTATACTCGGTTTGACGACAATTCAAAGAAACTGTCTGCTTTATTTATAGTTGAACGTTTTACAGTTTCGGTTATATCTCATCCTGCTGTTCACGACTTTCAGCTGATTTGAGACAACTGGCGTTTATTAGCTAGTGATCTACTGTTGGACTGCACGCTCTCGTGAGCTTTGCACTGTAACATATAATAACATACAACTGTTTGAGTGCTCGCTTCTTCCCATAGATTGCCGCCCCGTGTAACAGTGAAACACTGTTGATTACTCCTGTACGGCGCGGTATTAGTGGACGTGGAGGTGCCAATTTCCGGTCCATAGGTTCAAACTGAACAGACGCTCACATAAAATGTCACCTGACTAGCCTTGGCTAATCACCACGAAATACCGGAATATAGTACACGAAAATGTCATGCATTTCCTAATAACAAATGCCTCTGAGTTTCATTGCATGGGAGCTGAACTTTGATAGCTTTCAGTCGACCAATTTAGTAAGAAATGGTTCATTGGTCTGATAACTTTAGCGCCCAATACTGTTGGAATTAATCGTCTCTCGGAAGGACTGCTATTTCATTTGTGCTAAGTTGTGCCATCCGAATGGAAAAACTAGCCTCAATCACGTGCGGTTGTATGTTCTTTATCGATTCAAATTCACATAGACAACTGTTTTCTGGGGTATGGCTTTTTTGAACGTTATGTGAGTTATTGATGGCCGGGTTATTCTGGTGTCAGTTAGTAATACTGCTATGACCTCGGTGTGGTCTGTCACGGATTGTATCCATGCATGCTTTGATGTTCCAGCCAGTTTCAACCTTTTGTGTAGTTTCGGGGTCGATGCGTGTCACAAGAGATTTATCATCAATGCGGCAGATTCAAAATTTTTCCGGACGTGACGTTATTGTCACAGATTGCATGAGAATTGTTGACTATGGCGTCACACGTCAAGCGAGGACTCTGGGGCCTTGTCCTTGTTCATTGCTTAATTTGAAAGCATGTCGCTCGTGCCCCGGTAGCAAATTATACGTAAAACCATAATTTCAAATCAATATGAAACAGCAAGCTTTGAATTAGGCTGAACGTGCAGGATAGTTCACTGAATGAAATGCTAGGATATCTGACTCCGGTTTCACATCTAGGGGCTTCTTACAGTAGATAAGCGCCGTGTGGGTGTGAATCGATAGATTATCCTTATCCTCTGCATTCTCGTTGCCGAGAGATCTGTTCACAAGGTTTCTCTTGTTTATCACTCATCACATCACTTGGAAAAAGGCAGTCCAGTTAAACTGAATTCGCATCGGGCCTGTAGACTGCAAGGTCTTTAATGATATGGTCGGAAATTCTGATCAATTCTGATCATTCCTGTTAGCATATCTTTTACTTTACGCAGTTTTTACTTTTTGAAACTCATCGACTGGACAGCTAAGTTCAGTTTTTACAACCATTTTCATACCCTCGTGTCAGGTCTTAGTTAGACCGCCCTTGAATTCTTTCCATCCGATGCCTGCCTAAACAAACATAATACGCTGTGACAACCAAGGTGGGCGACATGCGTAACATATGACCCAACTAGCGTAATCTATGGGGGTAGACCACTTGCTCCAGTGGACAACCACCACCTAAAACGTTGGTCTACTCTCAACATTTCTTCTCTGGTTTCCCCACCAAACCCGTGCATTGCGACGTAGACGGCGGTGTTTGAACACCGACAATCTATTTTTATCCTGTTCCCGTATTAGTCAAGTCTGCATCGTAGAGCACGAATGACCTAAATGTGTAAGCATAAACTCGACCGTTCACAAACCACCGGATGTCATGGCGGCGTCGCAGACGTCTCAAATTGACAAATGCCAACCGAGCCTTCCGTATGCGTGCCGACACTTCATCTGGGACGTGCCCGCCAGGTGAGATCTAGCCGACCAGATAGCAAAATTTGTCTAATTTCTGTACTACTTCCCCAGTCAGAGTGAAGTTGGGGGACTGGACCAACCCAATATTGTAGCAGCATTTTTATTTAATCAAGTTGCAAAATGCATACCAAACATAGCTTCACTGGCTACCAAACTATGCAGAGAAGATTGCAACTTCCCTGGATCTTCACTTAGCGACCGGATAGCCCTAGTATCGAACGAATATATGATCGAATGATTCGATCACGCGTAATTATTTAAGTCCACAGATTTATACTTACTTGTACTTGTGTTCTGTACAGCCCCTTTGCTTCATTTCAATTCCCGAAAACTATCAAATGCATAATCCTTTTATGCGAATTTAAATCCTACATACATACACTTCGTACACATGTGCCCCAATCATACTTGACCATCTGGCCTTGTTTTTATTCTGACACTGATGAAAATGTTTCAACAGTATGTTATTTCGATTATTCAGTATGCATGTGTTTACTCTCTGCAGTCATTTCATTGGCAGTTCACTGACAAACCTTGTGCAAACAAATCTTAGATTATTGTAGTAAATTTGTGCACAATTTCATCGAATGATCGAATGCTCGATCGATCAAGCAAGCAAGCCCAAATCAATGAACATAGTACGTACTGTATGGCGGCGGACCATGGACCATCATTCGACGTGAACAGCTGTGTGGTGTACTGTATGGTCCTCTATAAACTCTCGAGTTGTTTACCAACTATGCGCGAATATTCGTGGGCGGTGGCGATGATATTCTTGACTTACATCAGACAGCGTATTAGTCGATTGAAATTCCTCCTCTGAGGTCTCCGACACATCACTTCACCTCCCCCCGACCATCAAATTCCTTAAATGTATGCAATGCTTTGTGATTCACATAATTGTCGTTTATGTCATCGTAGTGGCTCCACGTATTCCATTGTCTCCAAACTGCCCGGCAAATTTCACAAATATGACTCAATTTTGCGTGCTTTGTGGCGAGACCGAAAACAAGTTTGGTGACTGTTGTGCGGTTGCCTTTGTTTGTTCTCAGTCTTGTTTTTGTGACTAATCTATGTGAACTGCACCCGGAGTGTGTGTGTGTGTGTGTGTGTGTGTGTTGGAGGTCGTACCACGGTCGTAATACGTGATCTAACGGTACAAAATGTTGAGTAGGAATGCTTGTATATTTCTGAACAAGAACATACGTTTCGCCGCAAATATCTCAGTCATATGTGAACCGATTTAGATCAGAGAATCACTCCGCCTGGTCCGTGGTAGTTCTCGTGACTCGGATGTTAAAAAATCCCCGGATTGGCCTCAGAGACTGACTAGCTGAATTCACACCAGGACCACCGCACTGTTAGTGGTACCACTTACCTGGTAATATGCTCACGCTTATCTATTCCGGACATATTTTTTCAGTTACATCGGTACTAATACTTACTATAAAAACGGGTATCCTGATTGTAACGATGCGATGTAAGAATCCGGAGCTGATACTTCACCTTGAACGAAACCGGATCACAGTCGATGCGAGGTTGTTTTGCACTCACAGAAACAGTGTATGTGTGGGACAGATTGTGAAATGAACCTGTGTTTGTTCTGCGCCCACCCTCCGCTTCCCACTATTTCGATTGGTCTGTTTAGAAAGATATTCAATTGGATTAGTTGTCAATGCGTAAAATGTGTGTAGAGAATTGGCGAATCGAGGAATTTTAGTTTTGCACGTTTTCGAACACGATCAATTTGATACATTCTAAATTCCTTGTCCGGAAAAACATTTGTGATATAACGTTTGTGTTAAGCATTTTTTTTACAATGGATGGTTGTCTCCTATTCGAGTTGGGTCATTTTGAAGTTTCAGAACTGTCAATATGGGTTTCGGCAGCTTTTTCCAGTGCTAAGACACAAAACATGGTACACCTATGGCCAATGAAAGCGTTACCCAAAAAAAACGAACTAAAAGTTGTACTATGTTGGATTGACGATTCACACGGGTTTCCATATCCATCCAGTTTCCGGTAGCTAGACTGCTGCGAAAATAAAACTGGAAAGTATTATTTTAAATAAAGGCATTTCTATCGACAGAAATACAGATAGTACATTTCGCTACTCATATTATTAATATTATGACAATATGATATTTTGACATTCCACTGCAGTTACTGGATTGATTCTCTAAGTCGTATATTTGAATCTAATCGATTGATGAACGAGAGAAATATCTCATTTAGTACTCTGACACATACTGTCAACAGTCTAGCCACCACTTTGCGCTCCTAATACAACCACCCAAATTCACCCGCACACATGGTCATGTTGTTGTATCGATTTGGTGAATGTGTTGGTGATCACAACATGATTGTTTTGTTTTGTTCTGAGTTCGATGAAAAAGGTCTTACCTCATTAGGAACGATGTTGATATTCCGTGGTATATGATTGTTCAACATGAATATATATGGTACACTCGATGTCACAGTTGGACAGCATTCTTTAGTACTGCCTTTTTATTGCACCAAATAAGGTCTCATCTGGGATGGAACGATTTGTAATAACCGACAAAGGATAGCTGTTTCGTCCTGATGGGAGACTGATCAACAGTGCGCACGTTTTGTGTGCCCATGTCAGGACTCAAACCGCGAACTTTCGGGCAGGAACTTCAAATCCTCACCCCTGGGCTACGCGGTCGACGGTCATCACTTTGTGCGAATGGCTCAATCAATTTAGAGTATCCAGCTTAGATTAGCCCATTTGATTGTTCAGAGGCAAATTTCCATCGTACTTGAATGCATTACCTGGTGGGTAGTTAACGATCTCCCAAAGGGTGAAACCCACACCCAAGACCATCAGGGCAATCGAATGGGCTAATCCTTATAGGTGTAAAAAGACCTTGCACTGTGGAGCGCGCACACAATGGATCATCAACTTCCACCCTTGTGTTCAGCAAACTTTTACTTGTCCGTCACAGTGCTTTAATGTGAACCGGGGCCGTGATTTCTCAGACCCAATGATACATCTCTATCGCTATTTTAAGCGGCTTTTTGATTGGCTAACTCTCAGTGTCTGTGCGTATATGGGGGGGGGGAGTTCTTTTGAATGAGTCTGAGGAAAAATTCCGCAGCCTAGCCTACTTTAGAGCCATGTTAGACAATTCTGAGTAGATCATAGAACTAATCAAGACGTACTAAATCTTAACTTGCATAGCTTTCTTATACAAACGATTGTTGATTTTCTTGAAATCAATATATTTAACCCCATTTACTTGATGGTAAATCATAGACAATGGGAGTGTAATTAAGTTAAAGTGATACTAAGGTAAAACGAAATAAAAATAGTGCTGCCAATTAAAGAGCGTCCAGTTTGGATTAGAGCAATATTTTGTGGCGTTCCTCATGCCAACAAGATCGACTATTCCTCACTGATCGTGATGGCTGAGCGCTGCAAGTTGTTATCACTACTGTTTCATCCTATGAGTGGTTAGTCTTTTCCCGAACACCGCTACTGTTGAAGGCGTGTTCCTTCGCTGCGATCCCTTTCCGCTACCAGTGACTGTGCGTATGTTTTCTATGACGATATATGCTAAATGGAAACACGCAAATAAAGTGCTATACTGCGTACCACATCGTACGATCCACCACCTTCCAGAGAATGAACCGATTGCGGTCCAATAAACTACCAATTGGACGCTAAATTCATTCAACCGTTGGTTTAGTGCCTGTCTATTTAACCGTCAATCATTTGGTCAGTGTATCGATCTATCGACGATCCTTGGAAATCTTTTGGCTAATCACGCAATCCATCGAAGACTGCTGTGTTTCGTTTGTTAGTTTAAGTGTATGCCTAACTATTAATGTGGTGTGTAATGAAAGAAACATGCATTGCTTGACGTTAGCACCACCACCAACAACAACAGATGGAACACCACAACTATATGGGATAAAACCACAATGTCTGCCCTAACGTGCGTTCAACTTTTATCGATAACTTGGTATCTTTCGTAGATGTGAACACATGTTTAGACGTTTCCTGCTCGAAGTTTTCTGGTCGCTATTTTTACCCATCAAATGGAGATATCTGTTCGAGTTGCGTACGCGCGCGAACTGGTGAATAGGTAAATTTATCGTGGGCTGCAACATGGTAAACAATTTGTCAACTATCAGGTCCCCCATGAGGTGAGGCCTCGTTGGGCCGATATCGAAATGAACTGACACACACACACTCACACACACACACATACAGTTTGGGATCTTTACAACAACCAATGGACAAACAGATAACTTGTAGTTCATGGCGTGCACTAACCAAAGAATGCCCGATAACATACTGCCTGATGTAGTTTACCGTAGGAGAAGAGGATGTGAGCCAATGTGAGCGATAGAGTGACAGACTTCATTGTTTTCCCCCGTTGGTTAGGAGCCTGAGGCCATGGTCTGTTCGATCGACTGCTGGTGTTGTTGTTGTTGTTGTCGTCTGATGATGCTGATTTACGGAATCACTTACGTGAAATCAATCACGGAATGGAGCAAGTACTGATGGCAAAGTGATCAAATATGCACAAAAAGGAGAAAATCGAGGAAGACAATCATCACAACATTCAGCGCATCGCGCTTGTCTCCTCAACGGTAGCAAATGCTGTAGTCGATTCACTGGTCAATGTGATTTCACGGAGTATCTCTTGAACCGATTAGCTTTAATATACTGGTTTTAGTATTCCGTGACCAGGTCAATAAAATAAAACCGGAACCAGTAACTGTTTGATAAATGTGATGTCCGCACTTTGTTCTTGGACCCCTGGGTTCGAATGTTATCACGGACTATAAATGAGCATCCCTGGTTCGAACAGTTTTGCTGGTGAGACTTCAAACATATTTTAGACACAACAGGGACTAGATTATGTGTTGAATGCCTGATACCATATTATTAATGTATTTCGCACTTACCTGAGACTATGTGCCAAAGAAATCACGGTGCAATATTCCTTATACAAAGAAAAACGTTCCATAATTTGCACGTGGGCTGAAAATTGCGAGGTTTCCCAGGTTGAGGCAGGTGAATTCTCTTGAGGAATCCACAACCGGAGCCTTTGGCTAGCCAAAGTCTGACTCGCAAGGCAGCGGGGCGGTGTGCGAAAACCGCAATCCATCGGGGGCCGGTGTCCAGTTAATCGGATCATACGCCTTTCGTATGCCCAATACACCTCGACATTCAATTGAGCCGGTGACCACTGCCACAACCGAAAAGGTGGCGGTGTGGTTCGTACACCTCCTCTTGGTTGGTTTGGAATCAGGGTTTTTTGGCCAACTCCCCTAGGTGAATTACCAGTAGTCCATCAACCCGGTTATAGCGCCGTAAGTGGGCTTTTCGTCCCCTCACTTTGGTTTGAAAAAACCTCCTCCACGAGAAGGCAGTGAGTAGGGCTTCCTCAGCAGAGGCTATTTGAGACGCTTTGTTGTATGGAAGCCTTCCGCGAGGTGCAAGCGAAGAGTAATCAGCCGCAATCCTAGACACTCACCCCGACCTTACTGAGGATTTCGGAGGCAATGTGTGATACGCACCGAATGCTTTCCAGAAAGCTCGCCTCATCCGTCCCGTTCAGTTGCCATTCGTCCGCGTTTGGATTTTCACAATGCAAATGTAGGCGATTTCAATGATCTGCAAAACTGAATGGAGAGGATGGGGATTTTGAAATGCCAAATAACCTACCTCATTATGCATCAGTTCTGTTCTATTGTTTCAATTGTTCAAACGCAATGTGTTGTTCATAGAACACGGTGAGACAGGTGCACATACACGGGAACAGTTTGCGATCGAAATGGCTCGAAATAGTAATAGTGATAGTTTATCCCGACTTTCTACAATCCGTGACCTTACAACGTTCCAATTATCGATCAGTCGCGGGTGCGCGCACACACACACACACACATAGTTAGCTGACGCACGGATAAGCAAAATGGTCCACGAATGACGCTGGCGATCCTACCCCGAAGAATGACCTCCAGCTCTACCTACGTGTCTGCCTACATACACACGTGCGAAAAGATACACACACACCCGCAGATAGAAACCTCGGAACAAACCAAGTTCCAAACTCTTTAGGGATGATTTTGCAATCGGATCGAATTCTCACAGTTTGGAATGAGTATCTGGGTGCACCGAACAAATAGAAAATTTTCCCCGTGATATTTCCTCATTTGTAAACTCTAGGGTGGGGAGAGCATTTTCGTTCGTTTGTCCGAACGTTGTACACATTCAGTCAAGTACTTAGACGAGTCCTTCACGCTTCGTCCACCCACCCTCCCCCACACGACAGGCACAAATAAGCAAACTGTTCTGTGGTTTGGGGGCAAACGCTTTATGTTTGGTTTTTCCCGATCGTCCTACACTCCTTGGACAGATCGGACGAGCTTTCGGCAACCCCATTAACTGGAATCAATATTTACTCATAAAAAACCAACTATATAGACGAAGCAGGCCTTCACACGTCTTGAAATGTTTGCTTCATCTGGTGAACAATTATCGCTTTATTTCACAATTGCTATAGCTGAAACACAAATGCACATTTGAACAAATTGCGAAATTTCCCCATTCCGATTTTCGTGACACAAAATTGTGTGCTCAAAACCCCAGAGATATTCAACGTTGGTACTACATTAGCTTATTCTCGAAAACACTCATCGTTCTGGTGATACGCTATTTCTCAGAGAAACGAACTGTTTATGTTCCGGAACGGTACGGTGAGTAGTAGATCATCTTGGTGAAGGGCAGTAAACGAATCACTATGGTTGCCAGTCTGAACTTCTCATCAATTACACTCGTGAGTTATATTATTGACAGGTGTTCGTAGCCGTTCATCTCATAACCAGTTTTGAAGTTGCTAGAGCAACCATAGATGGATTACACTCACGCACGCATTAACACACACACGCACGCACGCGCGCACGCGAACGGGAGCAAACGCACAGCTAGCTGTGTTAACAGTCAGCCCCGTTCAAACTGGAATTGCAATAATACACGCGGTACGGGCTAGAAAGAAGTAACTGCTTTGAAACATCAGCGCAATAGTCCCGGCAAAGCCAATGAAGATGTGTGCGGGCACACGAGAATTAGTACCAGTACGTGTCAACTGCGCTACCTCTACTACTTGCCAAAGTGAAAATGTGTACAAAGGCCCGATGTCACCCCAGTTGTACGTCATAAATTATCGCGCAGCGAATAAAGTGCGATTAAAGTGCCGTTAACTGATTTTCGTGTCACTCAGTTAAATGGATAGATAGGTTTAGGCCGCCATCTCTGTCTCACCCAATCTTTATAGATACGGCGCCAAAATAACCATGGGTAAGCGAAAAATATAGGTACAGAAACGGGGAAACAAAAACAGCCAAGTTGGGGAATAACAATTTTTTGCTTGTTTACTGCACACCAGGTTGAGTTTCTTTCATTTTTGTTTATTTTTGGGATCGCATACAGGAGAGATTGCATTCACACCACTGTCTTCGGTTTGATGTCGTATCCTACAGTGTCTCTAGCCCAAGACAATCTGAATCTTTACGGCCCCGGCCGGGAAGCCTGGAAGGCCCCTTTCGAAGTCAGATCCGAGCACAGTCTCTTTAACCCTATGCGCCACGTCACAGCCTGCCCACCTCGCTGTTTCTTCCCGTCCGGACCGACGTCTGCGAATAGTGCACCGTGTGGCCGACGCTGCTCAGGCATTCGTATGATGTGCCCTAGCCACCTAAGACGATGCTGTGAGATTATTTTGCTCAACAGAAGACTATCTGATCCTAGCACCCGTC